CTGCCTCAAAACTCTTGCCTATGACCCTACCAACGTTCAAAGGGAAATTTATACCATTTTAAAAGTTGCTTTTATTACAACTCTAGGAAAAAAATGTTATGAAATTGACTGTGCAGTCAATCCAAGGAGCATGAAAGAGAAACAAAACATACCTAAGAAGATTGGAGAAAGGAATTAATCATGATGAAGGCAAAAATTAATGGGTTAGAATATTTTAAAAGAGAACTGATCAACAAAATCCCATTGCTGATTTCTTGAAAAAACGTGCAAAATGGAAAAACCTCCAGCAAAACTAAACAGGAAAACATTGAAAACACAATTACAGTGAATTTCAAATGAGAAAAGGGTGCTTATTCATCGATACAGTGAAGATCTCTTCCTTCCACCTTTATGGATCTGTATGGACCTCATTCTACAGCTCTCGGCCCTCTGCCTTCCAGCTGGGTTTAGCCAGTGGGGTGTCCTGGCAGCAGGAGGGAGGAAAGGAGAGTGAGGGCAGAACATGCATTCTCTGGGCTGGCTCTTTGCCTTAGGCTAGCTGTGTATCCCCAAGCAAGGATTGCTGCTTCTGCTAAGACAGCTCACTTTGACTGGCTTTCGCAGGATGGTAATCTCTGCAAACCCCCACATTACTACCCTGCCCTTGTCGAGTTTCTTAGTACCCACGTCTGGTTAAATAGTTCCTGTATCCAATAAACATTTGGAATTGATCCCATATCGAACTCATCTTATTTTTCTTTCTTTTTTTTTTTGCTTATTAGGAGTCTTGCTCTGTGCCCAGGGCTGCGGTGCGTGGATGATCTCAGTTCATGCACCTCTGCCTCCTGGGTTTAAGCAATTATCCTGCCTCAAGCTCCAGAGTAGCTGCGGACTACGGATGTGCATATATGCCCGCTATTTTGTTGTATTTTTGGTAGAGAGGGGCTTTACCATGTTGGCAGGTAGTCTCAACTCATGGACTCAGGTGAATCACCCACCTCGGCCTCTCAAAGTTCTGGGAATTACCAGGAGTGAGCCCCCGCGCCCGGCCTCTCATCTTTTTCTATTGGCCTTGACTGGTACCTATGCCCCAATGCTATTTCTTTAAATGAAGATTATTTTCCAGGAATAATATAGATTAACAAAATGGATCAAGATAGAAATCAAACTTAACTGTGCAGTAAACATGAAAGAAATGAAAAATATCAAAATTATGACCTGCAAACTAATGGCCAGGGCATAGGCAATGTCCAAAGCAAGTCTACATGGGCCTACCTTAGTTCATAAATGGTCTGCTTTTTAGCAATTTCCCAAGTTATGGCCAGGGCGCCGGTGGGCTCAAGGCTGTAATCCAGCCCTTTGGGGACCGGCCGGGAGTGGATACGACGGTCAGGGAATCAAAAAGAATATCCTGGCTAACCCCGGTCTCTACTAAAAATACAAAAAAATAGTGGGCGAGGTGGCGGGCGCCTGTAGTCTAGCTACTCGGGAGGGCTGAGGCAGGGAATGGCGTAAACCGGGAGGCGGGAGCTTGCGAGTGAGGCTGAGAATCACGCCCTGCATCCGCCTGGGCCCAGAGCAAGACTCAAGACTCCGTCTCAAAAAAAAAAAAAAAAATCTTCCAAGTATTAAAAAAAAAAATTTTCTCCGATAGTTTTACTAGTTAACATACATGATGTTAAAACCTGAAAAAATTGCTCAAAAAATAAAATATAAACCAAATTAATTTTATTTTAATGGATTTTAAAAAAAACTCTGTAATTGAGGTTGGCCTGTATTTATATAATATACTATTTTAAATGAGAAAAGGGTGTATAATTCTAGATATTATGTGACGATCTAGCGTGATCTAGTTATATAATACCCATATATCTTCTCTGATATATTAGTGCATATATAATTATATTTTATATATAATGTGGGCATAAATATAGAGATAGCAAATAGGGCCTGTTTTATGAAGGCAAAAATGGGTCAGTAATTGGAAAGTCTTTTCTTGTTTTTTTTTTTTTTTGAGCTGAGTCTACTTTGTCACCCAGGTGGAGGCCAGTGTGCATGATCTCGGATCATGCAACTCACCTCCAGGGTTCAAGCAGTTTCCTGCCTTAGCCTACCAAAGTACGTGGGTATTCAAACGTGCACCCCCATGCCTGGCTAATTTTGTATTTTTCGTAGAGATGGGAGTTTCTCGTGTTGGTCAGGCTAGTCTTGACTCTGACCTCAGGTGTCCCGCACTTACCTCAGCTCTCCAAGTGCTGGATTACAGGCTGAGCACACGTCTGCTGGAAATTTTTTTATCAACTTGGTTAGAAAAGAGCAAAACATGAATTCATCTTAAATTTGTAGTTAACCTAGGAATAGAAAGATATTTTCTTAACTTGAACAGCGTATCTATTTGAATCATATCAAAGGTTATATTTATGGTGAATATTAGAGACCACTCCTATTAAAGTTAGGCAATAAGATTAATTGAATGCTATTAATGTTTGTTTATTAGCCATTGAACTGAAAAGCTCTAGCCAGTGTAATAAGGAAATATTAATATTGGAGGGAAAAATAATCATAGGATAAAGTATTGTCTACTGAAAATAACCTATAATAAATGTTTAAAATCAGTGAAGAAATGACACCCCAATAGAAAAATTGAGCAAAGATAATTGAGATTAAAAGAAGAAAAACAAATGTGTCAAACAAACAAACAAAGTAAATGTCACACTGGGCCGGGCGCAGTGGTACGCCTGTATCCCAACATTTGGGAGGCCTGAGGTGGGGTGGATCAGAGTCAGGGTCGGATGGACCAGCCTGGCCAACATGGTGAAACCTGGTTCTATAAAATTCAAAAAAGCTGCGAATGAGGTGTGGTGGCACCTGCTTATAGTCCCAGCTACTTGGGGTCGAGGAGGATTAAAGCTTGCTGGGGAGGCAGAGAGTTGCAGTAAGTCAAGATACGCACTGTACTCAGCCTGGGTGACTAGAGCAGACTCATCCAAAAAAAAAAAAAAAAAAGACTCACCAAAAAAAAAAAAAGATATTGATGTGTAAATAGTTCAAATTATTCTGCATGGAAAAATCCAGATTTCAAAATATTGCAAGATTCACCCATTGTTGGTCATATATTATATTTTCTGTGCTAAACATAAAACTTAGTTACACAAAATGTTAATATTGTAGTTATCTCTGACCAAAGGAATATGAATATTTTTTTTTAGTTGTTATTATTTGTATTTTAAGGGGTTTTAGGCTGGAGCTGTGGACGAAGGGAGCAGTTGTGAGTGAGGGAGCAGTCATGAGTGACTTCAAGTACTTTCTTTGTTTGACTCTGTGTTCCCATAGGACCCCAGCATAGCGACCAACGACAGCGCAGGGCGCCGTAGTAGTTACAGTCATTTGTTGCAGATATTATGGCAGCTGGTTTGTAAGTTGATACTTCAGGTTTACTCACAAGAGTAGAAAGACAAATTGTACAAACACCTGGCAATCTTAGACTCAAAGGAGAGCTATTGAACTTGCCTGCACCTCTCCGAATTAATCTGATTTGGTCCAGCTTCTTTTTTCTTTTTTTTTTTTTTTTTTTTTTTGAGCTGATGTTTACTTTGTTGCCCAGGCTGGAGTGCAGTGGCACAATCTCGGCTCACTGCAACCTCCGCCTCCCAGGTTCAAGTGATTCTCCTGCCTCAGCCTCCCGCGTAGCTGGGATTACAGGCATGTGCCACCAGGTCCGGCTAATGTTTGTATTTTAAGTAGAGATGGGGTTTCTTCATGTTGGTCAGGCTGGTCTTCAACTCCCGATGTCAGGTGATCTGCCTGCCTCAGCCTGCCAAACTGCTGGTATTACAGGCGCGAGCCACTGCGCCTGGCAACTGAATTTGGTCCAGCTTCTAAATCCAACTACTAATTTACGGAAAACAGAGGAAGAGCAGCATGTCCACAAACCCCACAGGAATGTAATCAGCAAAAGCCCCACAGTGAGAAACGCTACAAATAACCCAGTTCCCACCACAAATAAGTCACATGAAACCAAAAAAGACATCTAAAAATACATCACAGCAACCAGTCTCACTATGTCGGCCTTAACTAGAATGATTATTCAAACCAACAAATTATTTTGTTAATATAATGGCATATAAGAGAAATCTGTGAATTTAAACACTGTATATGACATGATATTACAAAACTATTGTTAATTTCTCAGGTGCTATAATATTCTCTTTGTTTCTTCACAGGGTCATATAAAAGATGCACTGAAATACAGATAAAATTATAGGATGCATGGAATTTGCTTTAATCTTACGGGAAGTGGATGGGGCAGGATTAACCATGGGTTGATGGGAGGGGTGGTACATGGGAGTTTATCATACTGTTGGTGCTACTTTTGTGTATGAAGGTTCAAACTTCTCCATAACAAAAAAAAAAGTTTATTTTTTAAAAGCAAATAGTGTTCCCATCTTTATGGTGAAGCTAATGGACTTGAATTATAAATTTGCGAGTAAGGAAATAGGAATCTTTGCCAGTGGGGACTGTGAAAATAAAATGGAAATGCCAAGTCAAGAGGAAATTCAACAGCAAAACAATTCCTCTCCCCCAGTTCTCAATTTCCTGACATTTGAAAATTGAGGTAAGAAATTGGGAAGAGCATCCGCGGGCCACACTTCCTCCTAACAGAACTTCATTCCTTTTCTCTGAGCAGCTCTCTGGGGGGCCAAGAAGGCCTACCGAGCCATCAGCATAGCCCCCCCGGAAACTGAATGCTTAAGCACTTGGCCCAGACTTCGCATGGGTGGCCATCATCACAGGAAGAAGGGCTCCCTTGCAGAGCCGTTGCCTTGTGTCTTTGTGTGCACTAACTCAGGTGATCCCTGCAGCAACCCTGTGGTACTGCTGTGTTGCTGTTTCCTGTGTGACTTGGGCATAGGGAGGTCACACAGCTAGGGAGAGCTTCCCCGCACACCCCCCTCACCCCTTCCCCACTGAGACCCAGAACCCAGTCAGCCTACGCTGCGCCTTTCACCTCTTCCCACCAGGTGCTGAAGACCTGCGCATCGGTCCCCGCGGTCGTCGAGGTGCTTTTCAACTCCTACCCTCAGCTCTGCGTGTCAGAGTCCTGGAAGGAACTGATTCCTGAGGAAGTATTCCAGGCAAGAGAGCTGCCTTTTCGCCTGCCTTTAGTCCAAAACTTCTGTCTGTTTTTGCTTCTTTGCATGGGGAGTTTTGCACTGATATTCAGCTAAGTGTAATACATCTGAAAAAGGAAGAATGGGAAATGCGGGTGTATTTGCACAATTTCTGGGTTTTTTTTTTTCTGGAGGCTCCATAATCACACAGCCAGGAGCTTGTTATAGTAGTTGCAGTGTCGTGGCCTCAAGGAGCACAGAGCCCCATGCTGGCCTGAAAAACGCCAGGGTTCTCTTAACCAGTGTCCAAAGAAAGGCCAGAGCTGCCTGAATCCATGGGCCTAGCTCCATGTCAGGACATACTATTCCAGCCCTGTGAATCAGCTTCATGCTCCAGCTGCTCAAGATATGACCAAGGAAGCAGTGGGCATTACATCTATCCACAACAAAGTCCACAGGTGACTGCCCATTAAAAGAGAGTGAGAACAGGCCAGGTGCGGTGGCTCATGCCTATAATCCTAGCACTTTCAGAGGCCAAGGTAGGCAGATCACTTGAGGTCAGGGATTCAAGACCAGCCTGGCCAACATGATGAAACCCTGTCTACTAAAAATACAAAAATTACCTGGGCATGGTGGCAGGCGCCTCTGTAATCCCAGTTACTCAGGAGGCTAAGGCAGGAGAATTGCTTGAGCCCAGGAGGCGGAGGGTGCAGTGAGCCGAGATCACGCCACTGCACTCTAGCCTGGGCGACAGAGCTAGACTCCATTTCAAAAAAAAAAAAAAAAAAGAGAGCAAGAGTGAGAAGAGTTGTGTGTGTTTTTTCTGTTTCACTGACTTGAGTCATGTGTGCATAACTGACGACCAGACCAATGCCACGCACTCGCTCCTGAGCCCCTCCCTGGCAAAAAGGAAGAGCTGGTCATGACTGGGGGAGATGAACAGGGCCACCCCGGAACTGCAGGGCTGCTGTGCAAAGAGGATAGAGCAAAACGGAATTCGGGGAGACCACCTGGAGCATCTGAAGTCACCCCAGTCAGAATCCCCTCTCACTTGGCAGCAACTGTGCTTTGGGAGAGCACACGAGCCCCTGGGGCAGAGGGTGGTTCCCCACAAAGTGGTGCGTCTCTCTCCAGTGCGCTTATCAGGGATCAGTTAGCCATAGAAAAGCCCGCTTGTCCCATCAGTGGTCTAGCTAGGAAGAAAACATATGTTGGTTTCACGTGCCCAGATTTCTAATCCACCTGCCTTCCCTTCCAGATGCACAAGCCATTCTACCAGTCCCTCTTTGCCTTGGCCCACACCCCACGCTGCCTGCAGCATCTTTGCCGCTGTGCCCTTCGCAGACTGTTTGGCAAAAGGTGCTTTGACCTCATCCCCCTGTTACCCTTGCCAAAGCCCCTGCAGAATTATGTACTTTTAGAACCACAGGGTGTTTTGCACTGAAACAACACTGCAACCAATGCTGCTGTTCTCCTCGCTGCCCTTCTGTGGAGGCTGTGTGTTGAGGAGAGCACTCTGGTGAAGATGGAGGTGATGGCAGTTCCCTTCCCAAGTGCTCTCCATGGGACCGGGTGAAGCACAGACCTTGCCAAGCTGCAGGTTCACCTCGAAATGGAATTGGCAACAAAAGCCCTTTCTGCCTCTCAGGGTCGCCTGTGAAAATCCAGTGAAATCGTGACTATCACAGCACCTGGTCTTGGAAAGTACCTTTCAACAACAGTTAAGCCAAAAGGTACAGTGAGTCCTCACTTAAGGTCTTCGATAGGTTTTGGGAATCAGCTTTAAGCGAAATGATGTATAACAAAGCCAGTTTTCCCAAGGTTAATTGATATAAACAAGAGTAACGTTCCCACAGCGTATTTCTGGTCACAAAAAGATTGCCACACTTCTAAATAAAGACCAATACAGTTCTAATAGTAAACATTGAAATAAATGCAAGCTACGCATACCCTTAAGAGATTAATAACAAGTAAGATAATTATTTGCCCAATTTGTAGTGAATCAGTAAGTGATGGTGTTTGTCCTGCTCGTGGGTTAGATCAAGGAATAAATGTTTGCAAAACGAACCTTGTCAGGAGCACCTCCTGCCACCACGAAGTTCACAACAGTCACCAATGTGGCAGGCTTGCTAGGCCCTCTCATACCGCATCATTTATTGTCATGCATTTGGATGATTACTGTATGCCTTATGAATTTTTACTTTACAATAATTTGTATTCATTCATTCGTATTCTAACGTGCTTATTCTAGTTCAGGGTCATGGGTGGCCAGAGGCCACCCCAGCAACTCAGTGTGCAGGGCAGGAACCAGGCCTGGACGGGGTGCTGTTCCATTGCAGGGTGCTCACACACCCCCACACCCACCCACACACACACACTGGGGCAATTCAGACACCCCAGCTCACCTCACCTGCTCAGCTTTGGGATGTGGGAGGGAACCGGAACACCCAGAAAAAACCCACACAGACAGTGGCCCTGACTAGGAATCAGTTTTGTTTCTCATCAGTGTTATAATAAAATGACGTTAAACAAAACATTATTTAAGGACCTGCTGTATACATATTTTTCCAATGTGGTAGCAGCCCTCATGCTGTCCCTGAGCCTTGGGACCCTCCCCTCACAGAGAGGCCTCTCACCCCGCTGGGGCCCGACCACCCGGGGAAGCTCCGTACCCTAGATCACGACGGAGCTGCGTGTTGAGAAAGGACACTTACAACCGCCGCACACACACCTGCCCAGGGCCTGTTGGTGCTCCCAAGCACGTTACAGTCCAGAGCTCCCCTCAGTGCTCCCAAGCACGTTACAGTCCAGAGCTCCCCTCAGTGCTCCCAAGCACGTTACAGTCCAGAGCTCCCCTCAGTGCTCCCAAGCACGTTACAGTCCAGAGCTCCCCTCCCAAGCACGTTACAGTCCAGAGCTCCCCTCAGTGCTCCCAAGCACGTTACAGTCCAGAGCTCCCCAGGAGGACACCAGCAGGATGGTGAGTGAGAAGTTGCCATCCTGTGTGAGTCTTCGTGTGACACCTTCACCAGAAGCCACTGCTCCAGCTCCAGGAACAGTCCGGGAAGTCAGATGCCAGGAACAGACACAGGTTGATTGAAGGGGCCTTCAGCTCAGCCTGAGCATCACATGCCAAGAGAGATGCTCTAGACATCAAGGACTATATCAACCTTGTCTTATTTTCTCTATTCCATATATATATACACACCTTGAGGTAGAGGGTGGTTCCCACAAAATGGTGTATCTCTCTCCAGTGCACTTATCTGGGATCAGTTAGCCATAGAAAAGCCCACTTGTCCCATCAGTGGTCTGGCTGGGAAGAAAATGTATGTTGGTTCCGCGTGCCCAGATATATATATGCCAGAATCTCACTCTGTCACCCAGCGGTGCAATCATAGCTCACTGCAGCCTCGATCTTCTGGGCTCGAGTGATCCTCCTGCCTCAGCCTCCCATGCAGCTGGGACTACAGGTGCATACCACCACACTAGGATAATTTTTTCTATTTTAAATAGATGGGATCTCGCATGTTGCCCAGGCTCTAATTCCTGGCCTCACGTAATCCTTCTGCCTCTGCCTCCTGAGTACCTGGGATTACAGGAGTGAGCCCCCTCCCCTAGCTTACTTTCTCTATTCAGATTCTTCGACATCTGGGGCCTTGCTGATCCAAGAGGAGCTGACCGTCCCCCTGACCAACCAGGCTTAGCTAGTTCTTAGAGACAGTAAGCAATTTCACACAGAGCATGCTTTTCCAATGTTAGCCAACCAATCTGGAGCCCAGAGCCCACACCTCAACCACCTCTTATATCCCACTCTTTCTCACATGCCAGACCACTGCCTACTCCAGAGCAGTTGCCACACAACTTGGGACAGCCCTATGCCCCCAGAGTCTGCTGAAATTATCAAACTAGCCAAACTTCAGCCTTGCCCTCTCCTGCCCATTCCTCCCCAACCTCCTGAAAGACCCTGAGGCTTCTCCATGGGCTGCCCCATGTCACAGCATGCCCTCTGCTCTTAGGAACAGTGTGCAGTAAAACACCTTTTCAACAGCAATCATCTCCTGATCTGTTGGCCCTATGAGACATCGAATTGTCTATGAATACATTGTATTTTAAAGCAAACACTCTTCATGGTCATCCTCCAAGGAGAAGCAGTGACTCTCCTGCTCCGATGAACCTCAGAGGAGACACTCCGTCTCTATTGGTCTGTTTTGCATCGTTCTAAAGGAATAGCTGAGGCCGGGCAATTTATAAAGAAAAGAGGTTTATTCAGCTTATAGTTCTGCAGGCTGTACAAGAAGCATTGTGCCAGCATCTGCTTCTGGTGAGGCCTTTCAAGAAGCTTTTACTCATGGCAGAAAGTGAAAGGGAGCCAGTGTGTCACATGGCAAGAGAGGGACAAGGGAGACAGGAGGTGGTGCTGGGCTTTTTAACAATCAGTTCCCAAGTGCACTAATCCAGCAAGAACTCACTCAATACTGCAGGGAGGGCACCAAGGCCCTGTGACCCCAATGCCTCTCATGGGGCCCTACCTCCAACACTGGGGATCAAACTTCAACATGAGATTAGGAGGGAACAAATATACAAACCATACTAGCCTCTCATTGGTAGAGTCTGGAAAGAGAATTCAGACCCCAGCAAATAACTGCAGGGTGAGGTGGGATGTTGTATGCACCATGAGTATAGCCCATTATGGAGTGAAAGGGGGGCCCAGCCTGAGCCCAGGAAGTGAGGATGGGCATCATGAAGGAGGTAGCCAGGCTGTAGCTTGGTGGACCATCAAGTTTTAACACAGTGGATCTGCCCAGGGAGTGATAAGACAGCATCCCCCAGCTCCATCAGCTGACCCACCTTCGCCCACCCTTTGAGATAGACAATTGATCTGTCCTACAAAAGGGCTACATCAACTCAGCTTCAAGACCGCTCAGCTCCCCATCCCAGGCAGATGATTCTCCCCAAGCCTCTCCTGCATAGACCTTCAGGAGTTACCACTGCCTCCAAAGGAAAACTCGAATGAAGGCAGGGGTGCAGGGAAGCACAGGGTTCCGTGGAGGGACAGTGATTTACCCTCCTGGCTGGGAGGATCCCCACGCTTTGGCAGCTGGAAGGAGGCAAGGCTGGAGAAGGTGGGGGCAGATCAGGAGGTACTTGGCTTCCAGACCTAAGATTCTGAACTTCACTGGACGGGCTATGAGGTACCACGAAGCAGGTGAGCAGGTTTGGTCTCAGTGGGACTCCAGGAAGATCGCTTTGTCCCGGAAAGGGATGCAATGCACTGGAAGATGAGTAGCAGCCCAAGGTAACGCCTTAGAGACAGGTACAGAGCTTCTCTACTGAACAAGAACAATGACGTAACTGAAACTGGCTCAATTTGCTTACCTGGGAAGTGAACGTGTCCGCGCCTCTCTCACTTACTTAGGGATTAGTAAGATGTCTGATGTAAGGCAGGCCTTCTCCAAATTTGAAGGGATCTTGTTGAAATGCAGGTGCAGACTCTAGAGGTTTGCAGCGGAGCCCAGATTCTGTGGCTCCAAGCATTTGGATGTTTCTATTAACCTTGGATCCTGGTCTGCAGGCCTCACTGAGCAGAGAAACTGCAAAAACCCAGGCCCAGAGCCCAACCCGGAGAAGGAATTCGATCCATGGTTCCTTCTGTTATTAGGATTGTTTTATCATTAGAAGAAGAAAACAGCCCAATATTAAGATAGAGACTGTAAAAAATGGGGAAAAATAGCAATTTTTTTTTTTTTTTTTTTTGTTTTTGAGATAAGGTCTCACGCTGTCAGCTAGGCTGGAGTGCAGTGGCTTGAACATGGCTTACTGCAGCCTCGACCTTCTGGGCTCAAGTGATCCTGCTGCCTCAGCCCCTCACGTAGCTGGGACTACAGGTGCACACCATCAATTTTTTTTGTTTTTTGTAGAGATGGGGTCTCGCTTTGTTGCCCAGACTGCTCTTGAACTCCTGGGCTCAGCAATCTGCCTGCCTCAGCTTCCCAAAGTGCTGGGATTACAGACGTGAACCACCATGCCCAGCCAGCAATGCTATTTAAATAGCATGGGTAAGAACAGTAAGAAATACAGCCACCATGGCCTTCAAGGAGCCCAGTCCTCACTGAATTCTGAAAATGGAAATATGCCTGTCTTCTAAGACTATACCCTCCAGTCACGCCTTCCACCCCACCCTACCATAGAAAACGGTTTGGTTGACATTCTAAAATTGTAAGTATGTACTGAAGAGTCCTGGAAGAATGCAGAGCTCTTTTAAAACATACTGACGATCAAGACCATCCTGGCTGACACGGCAAAACCCCGTCTCTACTAAAAATACAAAAAATTAGCCTGACATGGTGGCACGTGCCTGTAATCCCAGCTGCTCGGGAGGCTGAGGCAGGAGAATCACTTGAACCTGGGAAGTGGAAGTTGCAGTAAGCTGAGATCACGCCACTGCACTCCAGCCTGGGCGACAGAGGGAGACTCCATCTCAAGAAATAAATAAATAAAATAATACTGACTTAGCCGGGCATGGTGGCTCATGCCTATAATCCCAGCACTTTGGGAGGCAGAGGTGGGTGGATGACCTGAGGTCAGGAGTTCGAGACCAGCCTCTGACCAACATGGCAAAACCCTGTCTATACTAAAAATACAAAAATTAGCGGGACACAGTGACAGTTGCCTGTACTCCCAGCTCCTTGAGAGGCAGAGGCCGGAGAATCACTTGAACCTGGGAGGTGGAGGTTGCAGGGAGCCAGGACTGCGCCATTACACTCTGGCCTGGGTGACAGAAAAAGACACTGTTTAAATAAATAAATAAATACATACATACATACTGACTTTACACTTCTAAAAATCTAATAAATAATAATCAATTATTAGGTTTCCAAAAACTTATTTTTCCCCAAATTGCAGCTTAAAAACAGCAACATGATTCTCACAATGATCCCCAAAGGTCTCCCCATAGCTGCCTGAAATTTTGTCAACATGGAGGAATTATTTCTTTTTCATTATTTTTACCCCTAAGAATTTTAAAATTCAGATGCTCCTGGGAAGAGTTAATCCCTGAAGTTCCTTTGGAATAAACCATTCACTCGTTTGTTCATTTATTTATTTATTTTTATTTTTACTTTTTTTTTTTTCGAGATGGAGTCTCGCTCTGTTGCCTAGGCTGGAGTGCAGTGGCCCCATCTCAGCTCACTGCAAGCTCCACCTTCTGGGTTCATGCCATTCTCCTACCTCAGCTTCCCGAGTAGCTGGGATTACAGGTGCCTGCCACCATGCCCGGCTAATTTTTTGTATTTTTAGTAGACATGGGGTTTCACCATGTTAGCCAGGGTGGTCTCAATCTCCTGACCTCGTGATCCACCTGCCTCAGGCTCCCAGAGTGCTGGGATTACAGCCGTGAGCCACCGCGCCTGGCCTATTTTTAATTTTTTTTTTTTACATTTTATTGTGGTAAAAAGCACATAATATAAAATTTTCCCAGCTGGGCACAGTGTCTCATGCCTGTAATCCCAGCACTAGGGAGGCCAAGGCAGGTGGATCATGAGGTCAGGAGTTCAAGACCAACTTGGCCATGATAGTGAAACTCCG